TGCTGGGGGAGCAGCCCCCTGGGCAGCGCCCGCGCGTCCCTGTCCCTGCGCCCGCAGGGTGAGTGCGCCCCTGGGGACACCCGCGGGACACCCCGGCATCAGGGAGCCGGGGGGCTCAGGAGTGCTGGAGACCTTGGGTGCCAGCAGAAGAGGATGGATAGGGGGAGCTGCTGGGTCTCCCCCGGTGGGGACAGCCCATGGGGCTTGGGGGGCTCATGGGGCCCAGCTATTTCATGATATCCGTGCGACTCAGAGGTCTTGGGGTCTCCTGGGACCCACGGGATTCGGGAATCTTAGGGGTCTTGGGTGGTTTGTGATGTTCAGGGGTTTTGTGGGGACCATGGGACTCAGAGGTCTTGGGAGGCTCATGGAGCTCAGGAGGGCTCAATGTTCTTGGGGAGCCCATGGGTCTCATGGGGCTTGGGCAGCCCTAGGGCTTGGAGGAGCTTGTGGGTCTTGAGGGTTTGTGCGGCTTAGGGGGCTTGGGGGCATGGGGGAGGCTTGGGAGCTTGGGGGATTTGGGGAGCTGGCAGGGCTTGGAGGTCTGGGGGAACTTGGAGGCCTCAGAGTTCCTGAGGCTCATGGGATTTGGGAGGGGCTCATGGGTCTGGGGAACTGGTGGGGCTGGGGAACCTCATGGGTCTTTGAGGACCCAATCTGTAGACTTTAGGGGCCTCATTGGTTTTGGGATGCTCATGAAAGCTCATGAATATTGTATTTTTGGAGGTCTCATGGGTTGCGGGCGTCTGGTGTTTTTTGGGGAGGGGCCTCACGGGTTTTGGGATATCTCAGGAGGTTGGGGCATCATAGATCTTGTGTTTTGGGGGATCTCATAAGCTTTAGGGGGTCTTGTGGGTTTTATGGGGCTCCCGGTTGTTGGAGGGGGTCTTGTGGGATTTGGGGCATGTCAGGGGTTTGAGGGGACCCATGAGTCTCATGTTTTTGGTTGTCTTGCATGTTTTGGTGGGTTCTTGTGGTTTCTGGGGACTCGTGGGTCTCATGTTTTGGGGGATCTTGTGGGTTTGGGGGATCTCATGCATTTTACGGGGGTCCTGCTGAGCGCAGCCCCATCCAGCTCTATCCTCCTCGCAGCCGTGCGCGTCGTGGTGCGCCCGGCAGCCGAGGTGCCCGAGGGGACCGAGGTGACACTGAGCTGCGAGGCACCCGGCGCCCCTGTGGGGACCCTCTACGCCTGGTACAAGAACACGCGGTGGCTGGCGCAGGGTCCCGGAACCGCGCTCGCCCTGACCCGTATCTCTCCCGCTGACGCCGGCGCCTACTCCTGTGAGGCCGGCACGGGCACCAGCACCCGCCGCGCGCAGCCCACTGCCCTGCGTGTGCTCTGTAAGCTGGGGCCGTGCGCGGGGGCACTCCGGGGGGTTCCCAAAATGCTCTGGGTGCAGCGGGTCTGAGATGTGGTGAGGGAAAGTCAGTGTTGCCATCTGCTACCTGCTGCCCCTGTCCCAATGGATGTCCGGGGCAGGGCTCAGGTACCCCCAGCACTCTTCAAGCCATGGTGGGATGCAGCGATGGAATGCTGTCATGGGATGCAGCGGTGGGATGAAGCAGTGGGATACAGTGGTGGGATGCAGTGGCAGAGTGCAATTGTGGGGTGCAGTGATAGGATGCAACGGTGGGATGTATCAGTGGGATGCAGTACCAGAATGTAGAGGTGGGATGCAGCAGTGCATTGCGGTGTTGGGAAGCAGCAGTGCAATGCTTTGGTGGGATGCAGTGGCAGGACACAGTGCGCTTGGGGTGATGCTGCAGCCCTGGCTCCGTTGCGCTGGCGCTCAGGGCTGCTCAGGCATGGGCATCCCCAGCGCTTGGCCTGCACCTCCAGCTCCAGCTGGGAATGAGAACCCCCCAGCACAGAGGAGTGTGACAGTCCCCATGCCAGCCCCACTGCCCACGGCCTTTTTGAGGACATTCCCGGTGTTCGTGCCCTTGCAGATGCCCCCCGCGACGTGTCGCTCACGGCGTTCGTGGAGAGCCCAGGTGGGCGGCGCGCCGTGCTGCTCTGCACGGCAGACAGCCACCCGCCTGCGGAGCT